GCTGGCCCTCTGCTTTTTAATAAAATTTTTATGTTGGAATAATTTTAGATTTACAGAAAAGTTGCAAAGATAGTTAGTTGTCTTAGTCTGTTCAGGCTTCTATAACAAAATACCACAGACTGGGTCGCTTATAAACAACCAAAATTTATTTCTCCCAGTTTTGGAGGCTGGAAGTGCAAGATCAGGGTGCCAGCATGGTTGGGTTCTAGAAGTAGGGTCTTTGCAGATGTAACTAAGTTAAGGATTTTGTGATGAGATCATCCTGGATTTAGAGTGGGCCCTAAATCCAATGACAGGTGCCCTTATAAGGGAGGAGACATGGAGAAGACCACGTGTGGAGAGAAGCAGAGACTGGAGTTATGCTGCCACAAGCCAAGGAACACCAAGGGTTGCCGGCAGCCACTGGAATCTAGGAGTCATGGAACTGATTCTGGCTCAGAGCCCCAGAGGAAACAGACCTGTCAACACCTTGATTGTGGATTTCAGGCCTTGCCTCAGTCAGCCCCGGCTGCCATAACAAGATGCCACAGACTGGGTGGCCTAAACAACAGAAATCTATTTTCTCACAGTTCTGGAGGCTGGAAGTCTGAGATCAGGGTGCCAGCATGGTCCGAGTTTGGTGAGAGCCCTGTTCCTGGCTTGCAGACTGCCACTTTCTCTCTGTGTCCTCGTGTGGTGAGAGAGAGCGCAAACTCGCTGACGTCTCTCCTTAAAAGGGCACTAATCGCATTACGAGGACCCCACTCTCATGACTTCATCTAAACCTAACCTCCCAAAAGCCTCATCTTCAAATACCATTACACTGGGGGGGGGGGCGGGTTAGGGCTTCAACATATGAATTTTGGGGGGACACAATTCAGTCCTTGGCAGGTCTCCAGAACTGCGAGAGAATAAATCCCCGTTGTTTTAAGCCACCTGGTTTGTGGCAGTCTGTTACGGAGCCTTCGGAAACGGGGACAGTGTTCTTCCTCACTTCTCTGGGCCCCCTTCCTCACTGAGACCACCAATTCAAAGGAAGACTTAGGGGCCGTAGCAGGGGCAGGTGCCGTGGAGGACTGGCACAGGCCGGGGCTGTGGTGGGCGCCCCTCGTCTTCGGCTACGTCACTGAGGGCGGGGACTAGCGCCAGCCCTTCCTGGATTTCCTCCTAGGTTTTGCGGCTGCACTGACTTCCTGGACCTGCAGAATGAGCTGGGCCAAACAGCCCCGCACTGATAGCCATCCCAGGGAGGCATCCACAGTGCAGAAGGTGGGTGCCCCGTTCGCGCACAGCAGCGGGCTGCGCCACACCGCACTGCACCTGGCCTGCCGCGCGCACAGCTCTAGTCCCTGCCTGGTGCCCCGAGGATCCCCCAAGACCTACCTGACTCAGGGCCCGACCACAAACCCAGCGCCGACTACCTCTATTGCCCTATATCGGAACCGGCTTAAAGAAGGAAGAAGAAAATGAGGAAGACTGAAAGCTGCACCTGGAGGCTGAAAATTACAAGGGCCACCCTCCGCTCCACGTGGCCCTCACCCTCGAAGATGCAGAGATGGTCTGGCCGCTCCGGGAGGCCTGAACTGACCTCAACAAACCGGAGCCCACGTGAGGCTGGAGAAACCCTGCACTTGGCAGTGGAGGCCCAGCAGCCGATGTGCTGGAGCTTCTCCCGAGGGCGGGCTCGGGCCCTGCTGCCCCCATGTACATGGCTCCAGCCCCCTGGGCAGCACCACGATCTGGCCGAACCCCATCCTCGCCCGCGTCCTCTGCGCACACAGAGTCCTGAGCGAGCACAAGGATGACAAGCCTGGCTCCTGCAGCAGCAGTGGCGACAGTGACGGCAGAGACGAGGGCGTGAGTCAGGAAAGACCGGGCCGCCCAGCTGGGGGGTCCGGGTAAATCGGCAGGCGGGAAAGGGGAGAAGAGATTTAGGCAGAGCATTGGGACCAACCTTGGGCTGAGGCAATTGGAGAACTCAGGCAGCAGTGCAAGTGACCTCGGCAGCAGTCAGGGCAGGGGTGGGGGAAGAACTTGGGCAGGGGTGGTTGAGAAATTAAGGCAATGGGAAAGGTAGAAGTCAGGCAGAGGTGGAGAAAAGTCCATGTGGTAGTGACGGGTAAACATAGGCAGTGGTGGGTGGCAGGGGGGGAGTGATTTTGGGGAGGAAGAGTTGGAGAACTCAGGCTGCCAGAAGATGACCTGTGGCAGCAGTGATTAGAACATGGGCAGGTGTGGGGAAAGGCCTTAGGCGGGGAGAGGAGAGGTTTACTTGGAGAACCCAGGCAGCAGAGACACTGCCTTGGGCAGGGGACCACGTTGAATGCAGGGGTTGAGGAATTTGGGGAAAGGCAGAGAGAAAGGGTGGAGGAGAGAGCTCAAGTGGCTATGGGTGCTGAAGAACTGGAGCAGAGCTGGAACTCAACAGTAGTGGTGGGAGAAATGACCTTGAAAATGGCCCAGGGAACTGAACTCGGAGCAGGGGAAGCAAGGCTTCAAAGCAAGACCCAATTCTTGGCGGGTGCAGGCGGGGGGTGGGGGAGGGTGGTGGAAGAACTTGGGCTGCTGGGGAGGTGGCAGCCGCCTGAGAGCCTCTGCCTGGCCCCCTCTCCCCCAGGAAGAATATGATGACATCGTGGTCCACCGTGGCCAGAGCCAACACCAGCTACCTCCCACCTCAGCCTCAAAATCTCCCCCTGATGACCTCATCTGATTTGTTTAATTGTTAATATAATTTCCAATTTAAAAAAATCCCAGTTCTGACAACCATAGGGAAAAAAAAGGAAAAAGTAGAGATTTGAGCTCTGAATAATTTGTTTCCATTTTCAGTCTTTAATGCCAGCCCCATCAATACTTGTCTGTCTGTATTCCAGTTCCAGGAAGCTCCTTATTGCCCAAGAAGTCATCTGCTGTCCAGACACTGTCATCAATAAAGCTACACGGGGCCGGCCAGGGCCGGGCCCTCAGCAAACACCTCTAGGTGGGGAGACAGATCCCAGCACCCTCTGCCTCCTGTCCCGTTTCATCCGTGGCCTTCTGGAGACCAGGCCTCAACTAAGGGAAGAGATTCCAAAGATGAAAATCTTTGACTTGGTAACAGATTGATGAAACACATATTTAGGGGCTAGTAGAGCCACACACTGCAACATTGTCGTATCCACTCAGGGCCAACTCTGCTGGCTTCCAGACCTGGGAGTGAGTGGGGAACATGGAAGGCCTTGATTCTGGGGGGAGAGATGGGTTATTTAACGTAATGGAAATACCACAAGAGTGGACATTAGGAGACCTGGTTTGTCACTAACTAGCCTGTGACCTGATGGGGGGGTCACTTCTCTGAGCCTTAGTTTGCTTATCCTTAAAATGAGGAGAATGGAATGATTTTTAAGTTCCTTCTCTGAATCAATAGTCAGTCCTGGGAGACTATGATGGATTAGGCAAGCAGTAGATTCTTTTTTTTTTTCCCTCCTAATTGTGGTAAAATGTATATTACATGAAACTTACCATTTTTACCATTATTTTCATTCTTTATTTTATTTTTAATTGTGGTAAAATAGACATAACATAAAATTTACCATCTTAATGATTTTTAAGTGTACATTTTAGTGGCATTAAGTACATTCACAATGTTGTGCAACTATTACCACTATCCATTTCCAGAACTTTTCTATCACCCCAAACTGAAACTCTACCTGTTAAGCAATAACTCACCCCTCCCCCTAAACCCTGGTAACCACTATTCTACTTTCTGTCTCTATGAATGTGCCTATTCTTGATACCTCAAAAAAGTGAATTCATACAATTTTTGTCCTTTTGCATCTGGCTTAGTTCACTTAGCCTGTTTTCAAGGCTGATCCACATTGTAGCATATATCAGCATATTTCATTGTAGCATATTTCATTCCTCTTTAAGCTGAATAATATTCCATTGTATGTATATACCACATTTTGCTTTTCCATTGATGGACACTTGGCTTGTTTCCCCCTTTTGCCTATTGTGCATAGTGCTGCAGTGCACATCGTCATACAAGGATCTGCTCAAGTCTCTGCTTTCAGTTCTTTTGGGCACATACTTAGGAGTGGAATTGCTGGATCAGAGGACAAGTCTATGTTTAGTTTTTTGAGGAACCTCCAAACTGTTTTCCCTTTAGTTTACTCTAAAATGAGGGCACTCAGTCCTGCCACTGGTGTGTGATGGGGAATCCCATGGAGAAGTGGATTGAAACCACCTGGGTTCAGACAGGCTGCCCAGCAGTGCAATTCACAGCTCTCCCCAGTACTGATGTGGGTCAAATGTGTTCTGGTGATCCCAGGGCCATTACTGAGCCCAGGGCTGCACATTTTCTAGTTCTGGGGTGAACTACATAGTGGCTGGAAGGCTGCTATGAAGAAAAATAATTTTCTCTCCTATTCACTTGTTCAGAATTTTAGAAATGGTGATGATATATGCACACATATCTGATTTCATTTATAGAACTAGAACCCCAAACATGATTGGGATAAGGACTAGGGAAAAAAAGGCAGGAAGTTAATTGAGAAGGCAGAAAGATGGGTGACACCAAGACTGAAGCTCTCAAAACACTGACCAGAGTTACAGAAGGGCCTAGGTTGAGAACCAGGGGTGGCCGGCAGAGCAAGTGAGCAATGAAGTGACCCAGCCCGGAGCTGTTTTGGACTCTCAAAGTCTGGGTTCAAATCTCAGTTCTTCTACTTACTAGTTTGGGCAATGAACTTAACCTCCCTCAAGTCAGTTTTCTCATTTGTAAAAGAGGGACATTAAGAGAGTTACAAGGGTGAAATAAAACCATACATGTGAGACGATTCCCACAGTGCCTGGCCCCCACACTCCATACAGGTTAGGACCTGTTTTCCCTCAAACCCTGAGCATCAAACTCAGGTGCTGTGTTAGACTGGGAAACCCTTCCCTCACGTCCCAGTTCTAGAAATCCACTTTAAAACATGGGTTTTTGATGCAGTTTGTATTTTAGTGGCCATTCTGGAACTTAGTTGCTGCCTTTGTACTGATTCCTTTCTCTCTGAATGAAATGCTTTATCTTTTTGGGACTGGTAGATGGGGCTTTCCTAGTAGGTACAAAACTGGCTTTTAAGCAAAGGATACATTTTTTGCTTAAAAAAATGAAACAAAACAAATCAACAGGAAATCTCAGTTATTCTGGGCAAAACTCTTCCAGGCACCATTGGAAATGAACACTTCTTGTAGCAGTTCTGTTTCATTTACTGAAACAGCCTCGCTCTCCAGGCAGAGCAGGACTGAAGGGAGAAGCAATGTGAAGACACCTGGAGGCCACAACCTTATGTCAATGCCAAGCAATATCATTAATCATAAACACAGAAAATGAAATGTTTGATAAGTGAGCTTGTATCCCACTAGGCAAATCTTCCTGTCTTTCTTGCCTTTCTCTGCTCTGCCCGGTGCGGGGGCAGAAGTGGGCTGGGCTCAGCTTTCTGCTCACCCTTGCTGATTTAATTCAATGAGCCGACCTGCGAACACAGCCAGGGTTCCGATGATACAGACGAGCATGAAGACTCCAAGGAGAATGTGGTCCATCACCATTGCAACATACTTCCATTCCTCGGCCGCCTGGGAGAGAGGAAAAGGTTAGAATTTCCTTAAGGTGGCCATTAAACTCACAATGTTCACACTGTGCTTCTTCTATGGCCTATTCAGGTTGTAGATCTTGAAGCCCCCAACACCCCTTGGCTGGCATTATGATCTTTATTTTTAGTGTGTGAGGAAGATTAGCCCTGAGCTAACATCCGATGCCAATCCTCCTCTTTTTGCTGAGGAAGGTTGGCCCTGGGCTAACATCCGTGCCCATCTTCCTCTACTTTATATGGGACACCACCACAGCATGGCTTGACAAGCGATGCATTGTGCGCGCCTGGGATCGGAACCTGCGAACCTGGCCCCTGCATGCGCACGCTGGCACCCGCCCCACCCACCTGCACTTAACCGCCATGCCACCAGGCTGGCCCCTGATCTTCATTTTTTGAATAGATTGTTCACAATGAGATGACTTACTAAGGTGGCCCAGAGGAGGTCAACAGGGGATCTTGGGTCAGTAGCTGCCTCTTAAGCACCAACCTACCCATCAAGCCAAACCCATCGGTCTGCACTCGAGCATCTGATCATTTAAACCCAGAGGTGCGGATTTCAAGCCACAAAGCTTACGTTATTGGACTCCTGGTCAGACTTCATGGTCTCCGCGATGTATTTGACGCCCTCGATGGCACTTTTCACCTCGGGGTGTTTGATCAGGGGAGAGTGGAAGCCCATGGGTGGAGGCCCCGGCTTCCCAGAAATGTCAGAAATATCGATGTCTTCTGTAAAAATCTTTCTGTCTTGTTTTTCTCTGGATGGTCTTTTCATTGTGGAGAAGAACATGATATTTGGGATAGTATCGATAAAAACCTAACACAAAAAAGATGTCTATGTATCAGAATTATTGTCAGCAGGGCAAGCATCAGACTCTAACTTTGTATTAGCAATGTGACCTTAGGCAAGTCACTCAGCTTCTCTGGGCCTCAGTCTCTTTGTCATTAAAACAAGGGACTATACTAGATTTTCTCAAAGATTCCTTTATACATGTCTTTTGGCCTGTGGAATTATTATTGTGATGATTCTGTAATGTGAGCAGTTCGCCACTGGAGAGAGCCTGTGCGCAGCTATCAGACTCATAAGAACCCAATGACTCTTACAGGCACCGCTATAGGCACCAGCTGCTTTCAAGGCCGTGTGTTCTCATGATCATATGGTTAAAGAAAGGGCCCCTCAGCTAAAAAATATACAAGGTTCTGGCCCCACACAACAGCTAGACTGTTTTCCTCCATTTCTTGTTCCTGAAGAAATACAACATAGGTGTTGCCAGGAGTCACTTAACAGTCTTTACAGAAACAGGGACTGTTTCTCCTCCAAAAAGAATATATTGCAAGCAGTAGTTTGTCAATTCGTGAAAAATATTTTGCATTCTTCACAAAAGACCCTGGAAGTTAGTGTCTCTGTGAAATTTTATCAAAAAACTGACATATTTGAAATGTTAACACATTCTAAATTTCAATAATGTAAATATTCAAGACCAAGTTCCTCACCAAAACTCACTTTCTGACAATCTCTCATCAAGCCCCCCCTTCAACTCTAGCCCTTGTTCTATTCCCAGCACACGATTCCACCAGCAAAAACTAAAGCAGCCTGTTCACAAATTGGAAGGCATACAAACAGAAATTTCAAGAATTTCACAGCATTTGTATAAAAAGACAGTGATTTATTCATCTTCTCTAATCAAAGAGATTATTTAAGATTGAATTTAGAGTGGGCTTTGTTAATTCTGTTTTTCTTCTCTCTCTAGGGAGGCTACATGAGTTATTCATCCCTGGGAAGGGGCCAAAGAAGGTTCCTTCCAAAAATCCCCTCCAGCCCAGAAAGGACTTGCAGTTCCTAAGTAGTCACAAGTGTTAGCCAGAGTTCTGCTGGCCACGTGGAAGGTAGATGTCCTCGAGATAATGGCTGCCCTGTGCAAAGTTTGCAGGGGCCTCGCTCACTCACCTTCCGCACCCACTCGGGCATGACGTGGGTGCTGGGGGAGCGGTGGTGCGTGTTGATGACGATGACGGTGATGATGATGGAAGTGATGACAAACACCATGGTGAACAGCATGTATTTCCCAATCAAGGGCACGGCACTGGAGGTGGAAGGGATCAGCTCCACAATGACCAGAAGGAACACAGTTAAGGACAGCAGGACAGAGATGCTCAAAGTCATCTTCTCTCCTGGACAAAATGAAGAAGAAACACAACAACCCACCAGTTATGGGCTGAATTGTTGCTCCCCCCAAATTTATACGCTGATGTCCTAAGTCTCAGCACCTCAGTGATTGTATTTGGAGATAAGGCCTTTAAAGAGGTAGTTATATAAAAATGAGGTCTTAGGGTGGGCCCTCACCCCATATGGCTGGTGTCCTTATAAGAAGAGGAGATTAGGACACAGATACACACAGAGAGGAAAGACCGTGTGGAGACACAGGGAGAAGATTGACATCTGCAAGCCAAGGAGAGAGGCACAAGAGGAAACCAACCCTGCCGATACCTTGTTGTTGGACTTCCAGCCTGCAGAACTGTGAGACAGTTATTCCTGTCGTTTAAACCACTCAGTCTGTGGTACTTTGTTATGGCAGCCCTTGCAAACGAATACACCACCAAAACCCAAGGGTGAGTGGAATGTGACCAGAATGTTCTCAAAGCATCATTCTGGGGAAATTTTTTTGGCAGAATTTCCTAGGAGACCTTGGCACCTTAACTTGGCTGACGATGACATGTGGCAGGCATTTCCATTAGAGGCTGCCAAGCAGGAAATGGCTACTTCATCTCGTGCCTCAGAATTCCGTTTCTTGGTGGAACCCAGTTACACCAAGCTAAGTGGCGAGGTAGACCCTGGGCAGCAGTTTTTCTGTCTGCTGAAAAGTGTCATAAACCTCACAAAACTGAACTGCAGCCTGGCCTGCTTGTTACCCAGCAGATGGATGGGCAGCCCAGAGGTACACGTATAATCTTCTCATTATGGGATCAAGCTGCAAGACCCAAACTGAGAAAAGGACAAAATCAACGATTTCACATCACTGACTTTCTCACTTTCATCTAAGAAGATGATTTGTTTTTCCTTGTTTTGTTTTGTTTTTCATATTAAAGGATTTCCCCACCCCTACCTCTTTTCTCTAGGCCCTGTAATTTCATGGAGAACATTCCCTGTTGGAGTCTTGGTTGGCGAGCATGGCAACCAGGAAGGTCAGGAGCTGAATGGCTCTGTGATGTCTCTATGGGCACTGACCACCTGAGATGCAGTAGAGCCTTTGGAGGGGACTTCCCTTGGGCCCATCTAGCTGTTTGTGTTCTCAGAAACCCTTGTGTTGCCCTGCTTTCTAGTATGGAGCTTTTCCCATACTGGACCCTTCCAGATACTAGGAGCGTATACAGGATACCAAGCAGATGTAGACAAGAAATTGTCAATTTTACCTGGTGGGTCAGAAAGTCTTCAAACATGAAAAAGAAGACAATTACAAATATGAAATAGTGATCAAGTTATATCAAATTTCTTGATTAATAATAATAATAGCTAACATTTATCAAGCAGTCTTACTGTTCTAAATGCTTTTCAAGTGTAAATCATTTAGTATTTATAGCAACTCTGCTTAGTATCCATATTGCCCTGACTAGTGTTTTCTCTCTTCCCTTTAAGAAGCTTCATTTGAGGGCCGGCCCCGTGGCTTAGCGGTTGAGTGCACGCGCTCCGCTGCTGGCGGCCTGGGTTCAGATCCCAGGTGCGCACCGACACACCGCTTCTCCAGCCATGCTGAGGCCGCGTCCCACATACAGCAACTAGAAGGATGTGCAGCTATCACATACGACTATCTACTAGGGCTTTGGGGGAAAAAATAAATTAAATAAATAAAATTAAAAAAAAAATAAGAAGCCTCACTTGACTAGAAAGTTGAAAAAATATTTGTTGTGATCATTTGTTTAAATATGAGTACAATCACTAGAACATATATTCTGTGGGGTGAATTCTCTCATTCTCTATTGTATCCCTGCCACATAACAGTTGTTCAACAAATATATGTTGAATGAGTGAATGCATAACTTTTTTTTCTTATTGGAAAACTCAATTTAGACTTTTGTGGATTTTTTTTTAGCATTTTGATAAAATTGTTACTATCTCTCTTTTTTCCCTCCATGTCTGGCATAAATTGTTTATGAGTGGTGACTTGCTGGCAGCCATATCATTTTCCCCTTTTCTGTACCATTTTCCCCTTTTCTGTAGATTGTTGGTGTTTGGTGGAATTATGTCACAGATGTGATTACTCAGTAGGAGGTAAGTAAGTTGTCCAGGCTGATATGTGAGAAAGAATTGCCACTTGGGAAGTATGGTCTTGTGTATAAAGATGCTGCCATCTGGAAAACAGATATGCAAAAGCTATTTTCCAGTGGCAGGCAGTGAGCACAAGAGGCAAGGCCTGGATTAGTCAGTATAAAGCAAGTGACTTCACTGGGGAAGTGGCACGGGGAATGTCTGTGATCCATGCCTTACCCAGCGTGTTTCTGGGCACACAGTAGGTATTCCCCAAATAGGTATTGGTGGTTATCCAATTTAACTAGACTGAGCTATGTATGTGCATCTTCAGGGTCATGCTCAACTCTCTCTGTAGTCTGCTCCAGCTGTGAGCTCCACCCACAGTGACTTTCACCACTGCCCCAGACCACTCAGTAAATGCATCCTCCCAGCGATGATGATTTGGGTCTGTCTGCCTGTATTGTTAATCAGCCCGTGATTATTTTTGGCTTCCCTCAAAATAGCAGCATGAGATCTGTCAGCGTCAGCAGCAGCAGCCATGGCAACCGCACCCACCTGAGTCTGTGGGCAGGTAGAACACCAGGCCGGTTAAGAAGGAGAAGAGCAGGCAGGGAATGATGACGTTGACGATGAAGTAGAGGGGCAGGCGCTGCATGACGAAGTGGTAGGTGATGTCCAGGTAGGGGGTGGAGGGGCAGCAGGCGTAGAACACCCAGTGCTTCCAGCCCCGGGACTCCTTGATCACCCACTCCCCGCTCTCCATGAAGTTGCTCAAGTCTGGCTGGTCGCTCTCCTGAGAAGATGGAATGAAACTTTGAAATCCCAGCAACGTCGCCATGAGGAGGGACAGGATTTCATAATTGGCTGTGACAAGGCAACTCTTTCCAGTGCTGTCTGTCACATACCCAGGAGGGACCCTGGGTAACTTCCACTTTGGGGTCTTAGGTTCCTTTCCTATGAAATAAGGGGGTTTGGACTATTGGGATTCTCCATATTGACTGTGCATTCTAGTCACCTGGGAGCTTTAACACATATTGGTGCCCTGGCCCCACCACACACTGATTAAATCAGAATTATTGGGACTGAGCCTGGGTATAGGGAATTCATTTAAGCTCGCAGGTGGTTCTCATGTGCAGGGCATTGGAAACCTTCCCAGTCAATTGGGAACATCAAATGAAATGATTCCCAAAGTTCTACCTGGTGCTGAGAGCCTATGATCATCAAGGGGCAGAGTTGGAGACCTGAGTCACACCTTTCCTGAGTCCAACCTCATCACAGAAGGTCACCACCTACCGGGTTGATCACCACCACAGAGCCATCATAGGTCCAGGTGCCCAGCTTCATGCTGCAGTTCTGTTCGTCAAAGGGAAAGTGGGTGACAATGATCTCACAGTAGCTTTTGAAGATGGCTGGAGGTGTCCACGTGATATGGCCGGTGTAGTCCAGGAGCACTTTGGTGAACTTGACAATGGCAAAGTCACCGTCTGCACTACAATTGGGATAAAAGAGGAACATGGCTCCAAGTGATGGATGAGCCTTCAGTTCTGCTTGGGGATGTGAACAGGAGCCAGCTGTTAATTATTCAGGTGCTAATTACAGAAGCTTTCTTTCGGGCAGTGTCGCTTTTACCTATGGCAGTTTCCCAAATTTGTCTGATAATAAGAATTGTTATTGTTTAAAATTGCTAATTTTAAACACTGGGGTAATTCTTTAAAATATAGATTCCTGAGAACCATCTAAGTGTTGAATCAGAACATTTGGGGAAGAACTTGGGAATCTATAGTTTTAAAGGAATAACAGGTAACCCTGATCCACTGCATCCCAGCTTGGTTTCCTCCCAGTCCTCAGTAGTGTTTGTAATGTTAATCTCCACTATCCCTTTTCTGATGTACTTTGAAAATGAACTGGGAAAAAGCCAGAAATTTTAAATAAAGACACCACCAAGGGCTCATTACTGAGACAAGCAGGTTAAGGAAGAGGTCTATTACCTTTTTAGGAACTATTTAGAAGTCCATGGGGTGGGGCCACAATCTCAGATGCCTCCAGGGCCAGGCAGTCTAGAAGGAGTGTGGGGTGAGACTGTGGTGAAGGGAGAGCCCCTCTCTCCTCTAAGGAACGTGCCAGTCGGCTCTGCCTGTGGCGTCCACGTGGAGCAAAGGCCCAATGTTCCCAGATATTTGGATTTTTCCTAACAAGCTGGAAATTTAGATTTTTTAACCCAAAATTTCCAGATTTTTTTTTTTTTTTGAGGAAGATTAGCCCTGAGCTAACATCCGATGCCAATCCTCCTCTTTTTGCTGACGAAGATTGGCCCTGGGCTAACATCTGTGCCCATCTTCCTCTACTTTATACGAGATGCCGCCACAGCATGGCTTGACAAGTGGTGTGTCAGTGCGCGCCCGGGATCGGAACCTGCGAACCCTGGGCCGCCTAAGCTGAGTGCACGCACTTAACCGCTGCACCACCGGGCCTGCCCCCTCCAGATTTCTGAGGGTTGGATTTTTCTAGAGAGGCTACAAATCCAGATTTAATGTGATATTTCCTGATTTTCAAATGTTGGCAGTAATTTCTCGTTAAAATAATGCTAGATATTAAGAAATAATGAGCCACTTCTGCAGGCCTTATTAAGTGGGCAGTCTGCTTGTCCCACAAACAGCCTGTGTCCCAGGGCCTTGGCCAAGAGCAGGGCATTAGAAGAGGTGTCGAACAGGTGGGTGGGGTCTGCCTCAGTGGGCTTTCAGGGACATATGGCACTTACTGGTGCCTCACTTCATAAATCGAGAAATTTTTTTTCCCATTGATTTTTCTTTGGGATGGAGATGGGGCTCTATCCAGAAATCTACTCAGTTTTGGACCTTCTCGAAAGAACCACAAAGAGCAGAGGGCCGTAGGATCATCTAAGTCTCTCCCTATGAGCTAGTAAAACAGGGTTCTCTCCCCAGCAGGGTGTTCCTGAGTGAGCTTGTTAAAAGGCCAGAGGATTTTAATTGCTTCCCTCAGATTCTGTCTGAGAGAGAAAACTAACACAAGACACTGCCCGATCAGCATATTTGCCCAAAAAGGTTACACAAATGATTAGATAATTTGGCTCAAGCTGGAGTCCCAGGTATAATTGGAAAATATGTAGTAGAAAATCAAAGTTGGGGAGAGTCAGCCTTAAAGGGTATCATTTCTATGCACTAGCCCTCGCTGCCTTCCCTGCTAAGTCTTCTAGAACACACAGCCTGCTGGTCCCAGACCCATGCTGAATGTCAGACCGCAAATCCTCTAGGCCGCCATCGAATGCTGCTGCCTGGGAAAGATGCTCTTTGAAATGAACATTCCCTGACAAATGAAGGGCATATGATAATGAATGTGTCATTAAACCGGAATGTCTTGAATCACATTATAATTTCACAACGTGCAGTCTGTCACGGAGCCCAGTGGATGGGCTACACAGGCACCCGGGCCATCAGCAGTACTCCATGACTTGGGATGCCGTGAAGATGTGATGAATAACAATCCCGGTTCAGACCTATTGGTAGGAAGGACATTTAATTCCAAAGAACTCAATTATATGAAGTTTGGGTTCCCTGGATGGTTGCCATACACCCTTCAGGAGCTCTCAGGGATTAAGTGTCCCCCACCCCACAGCCCTGTTTCAATTTGGCTCTGATAATTGTTTCTATTCATAACATGAGACACCATATGGCACCCCTAGCGTGTCAACTTGGCTCTTGGTTGTTAAGGGTTATTTAATGTGAACAGTGGTAAGAAGCATACTGAGAGTGGCAGCCCTGCCATGAGGGCACTCGCCTCCACCTGCCCCAGGAATTTACCCCCCTCCCCGTCCTGTCTGTTTTGCTTACTTGTTATAGAGAACCAAGTCTGGGCGCCAGATCTTTTCTGAGGGAATGTGAATTTTTTTCACGCCGCCATAGTCTTCTGGATTCCATTTTAGGTTGTAATCCACCCATTGCTAAAAACGAAGACATTTCGCCAATTAAAAAGCTAAAAACATTTTTTAAAAAATCTAGGGTTATCAAGAGCTCTGATGGGTATGGTAATTCAGATGTTGACAGAAGTTGTGCCCCAAAAAGAAAGGTTTGATTCAGAATTCAGCTTTCACTGTAGTAAACAATAACAGCAAACACTTACATAGCACTGACTACATGCAGGCACTGTTCTGAGCACTTCACCTATATTTATCATGTAGTTCTCATAACAATCCTATGAGGTAAGAGTGATTATTGACCCCATTTTACAGATGAGAAGACAAAGGTACTCCCAAGTCATGCCACTGGGTGGCGGCAGATCTATCATGCCACACTGCCCACCCCAGGAAAGGAGAATGACCCCATGGTGAACAATTTCCTCAAACAGGCAACATCATTTTTTTAAAGTATTATATTTTTACCTACATTATAAAAGTAATATATGTCCAATGCAGCAAATTTGGATAACACAATGTTACGGATTAAATTATGTCTTCCCAGAATTCATATGTTGAAGTCATAACCCCCAGTACCTCAGAATACAACGTTATTTGGAGATAGGGTCTTTACAGAGGTAATTAAGTTAAAATGAGGCCATTAATGTAGGCCCTAATCCAATATGACTAGTGTCCTTATAAGAAGGGGACATTTCAGGAAGAAAGCCATGTGAACATGAAGATGGCCAACTGTAAGCAAAGGAGAGGCCTGGAGAAGATTCCTCTTCACAGCCCTCAGAAGGAACCAATGCTGCCAACACCTTGATTTTGAACTTTTGGCCTCAAGATCCGTGAGACAGTAAATTCCTGTTGTTTAAGCTGCCCAGTTTGTGACTTTGTTATGGCAGCCCTAGCAAACTAATGAACACAGAAAACACACAAAGTAAAGAAGAAACACCAGAACATATCCATAATCCCACTACCCCAAAATATCTACCTTTAACATTTTGATACATATCCTTGTTACCAAAATTGATTTCCTCTGGGCCCAGGTTAAATTTCAGGGTAAATAAAAATAACATAAATGCAATTATCTAGCTGAATTACCTGTTTCAGTCGAACATTGGTTGTCACGATCTGATTTACTTCATCCTGAAAAAAGATAAGGCCTCATCTTTAGGGGATAGAGAGGGGAGCAGACGGGAGGATGCTCCAGGGTGAGGGGTGTGGGTGCTGTGGGGAGCCCGGAGTGCTCTTGCCTCACCACGTTGATGAGCTGTATCAGCTGCAGGCCCACGGTGACCTCCACGGCCTGGTGGTGGTCTTCCACTGGCCGTACGACGCTGTTATAATTTTCAAATAGCTTTGCCACCAGACGGGTCTCATTTTCGGAACATAGGACGAGGCCAGCTGAGACAGCAAAAGACACACACGCTATCAGATTCTGCTCCCCACCCTCCACACACAGTAACATGAGTAATTGAGGCGTGACCAGCTAATGGAAGGCACGCAGACCCCCTGTGGAAGGGCTCCCAAGGGAAGCTCTTATTGCCTTAAGTTCCCTCCCAAGCGCAGCTGCTGGTGTGGTCCCTTCCCAGTGGGGTGTGCCAGATTATCATGACACTTGTGCTTTGGACAGATGACATTCCTTAATACAGCCTCTGGCTGAATCAAGTGAGCTAGGAACATGCATACACAAGAAGACAGATCCACACAAAAGCCAGTCTCAGTATTTCAGAGTCTGGGCATGGTATAATGAACTCTTGGGTTGGTTGGCCTGAGATCTCATGATGCTATAAACAGCCAAAAATTGATGCTGGTTCACACCCACTAGGATGGCCATAATTAACAAAATTGAAAATGACAAATATTGGTGAGGTTGTAGAGAAACTGAAACACACATATGTTGCTGGTGAGAATGTAAAATGGTGCAGCTGCTGTGAAAAACAGTTTGGCAGTTCCTCACACAAGTTACACGCAGAGTTACTATATGACCTGGCAATTCCACTTCTGGGTATATCCCCAAAAGAATTGTTCAAAAACTTATACATGAATGTTCATACCAGCACTATATACAATAGCTAAAAGATGGAAATAACCCAAATGTCCATCAACAGATAAATGGATGAACAAATTGTGGCATATCCATGTAGTAGAATATTATAGGGCCATGAAAAGGAATGGGGTATTGATACATGCTACAACATGGATGAACCTTGAAAACATTATGCCAAGTGAAAAAAGTCAGACACAAAAGGGCATATATTGCATGATTCCATTTATATAAAATGTCCAGAATAGGTAAATCCATAAAGACAGAAAGCAGATTAGCGATTACCAGGGACTGAGGGGACAGGGGAATGGGGAATGATTATTAATGGGTACAGGGTTTCCTTTTGGGGTGATGAAAAAATTCTGGAATTAGATAGTGGTGATGCTTGCGTAACATAGTGAATGTACTTAATGCCACTGACTTATACAGTTTAAAACGGTAATTTTATGTAATATGTATTTTACCGTGGTAAATTTTATGTAATGTGTATTTTACCATAATTTTAAAAAATATCGCTGCTGGTGGGTACATGTCCCAGTTAAGTTGTTAAGATAGAGTAAAAACTGTGTGCTTTGCTGACCTGGATTTGGGGCTCCTATTTGGAGCACAAGTGATTCCAAGGAATCTTGACTGCATTTTCCTTCAGGATGGAGAGCAATTCAGCTAATACTCCCGAAGCCCACAGCCCTTTTAGTCCAATGTTATGTGGTCCTCACCAGCCTCCGGTGAGGCAGGCAGGCAGCAGACATTCTCACCTGAGATTCTGAGAGGTTGGATGACTTGTCCAAGGTCATGCAGCTAGGGCGAAGCTCCAGTTAGAGTCCTGTCATTCTGCATTGTGCTCCTGCCCTAACTCTTAATATTATGAGTGTGTTGTGGGCTGTCCTGGAAACTGCACAACTGCATGTACCATTATTCCTATGAGAAAATGTGTTCCAAATTCCAACAAGTGCCTTACGAAGGATCTTTGTAACTCAAGCCTTACGTGGATTGGGGACTGCCTGTTCAGGGCTGGGAGAGGAAGTAGACACACGATCCATTTGCCGTGATTCATGTAACCAGATCTCCCCTTTCCGCAGGTTATTGCTGAAACCCTCACACCTTTTCCCTGTGCCAAGACAACTTTAAAAATGGAATGCGTGATGTGCTTTCCCATTTTCCCCAGTAGTATTAACCTATCACCTCTAAGATGGGTTATTATTTTTCTTTATTATTTTTCTCCTTGGATCCTAAGTTTGAAAGAGTTTGTCAAGAAAATAATTATTAAGTAAAAATTACTTTTTCTATTTTTATTAATCAGTAAAAATAATAACTAACATATTCAACTTGTTATGTGCCAGACACTCTTCTATGTGCTTTGTATATACTAACTCTTTCAATCCTCACAATTGGGTGTTTTAGGGACTGCTATTGTCCTCACTGTACAGATGAGGAAATTGAGGCACAGAGAGGTTAAGTAACTTGCCCAGATTTCATACATGGTGGAGCCACCATTCAAGCCCAGAGCCCACGCTCTCAATCACTATTTCTCATCCAGGACTTTGGATCAGCTTGAAAGAACCAATGTTATGCAATGAGTTGATACATTTTCATCCCTCAAAAGTGTGTTTTAATTAGTCCATAGAGCTTTATTAAAGGCCCTGTGTTTGTATTATCTTTGTGAATCCTTATAACAATCCTCTGAGGTAGGCCTTTGCTCTACTTTACAAATGAAAGAGCCGAGGTTGGGACAGCTGAGCAATGTACTCATGGTTCCCAGCCGGTTAGGGCGGGATTGCAAACAGAAGCAGTCTGACAGCAGGGCCTGGGCGCTTTACCACCTCGCTAAGGTAAATGTCTCCTTTCCGTTCAGATTTTGAAGCTTTCAGTGAAGCTTTTCAGTGGAGAATAAATATCTCCATTATGACTTTCCTGGACTCAATGCAGGGAACCCCTGACCTCGCCTACCTCTTCATTTCTAGTTTCCCAAATTTTCTGAACCCAAAAGGGTCCAAGAGCGTCCAAGGTGCCCAACCAGGCAGAGCATTCACATGGCATCTCCCCGAAACCACCTGCATTTGAGGACTGTGGAGCGTGTTTTCCCAGTTTCCCAGTTGCCCATTGAGCCCCTGGGACACGACAATCCTTTTGTCTGCGTGCCTTGACTATCCCAGGCTCCACCCAGCCCATGGTGGGACAGGGGCCTGATATGGGTCACTGAGTGCCTTGGCCACTGAGTTTGAAGCTATTGCTTTGGCATTGCCCTGGGCTGCTTATTTTTAAGTGACTGTTTATTCCAGTTTGACAGGAAGAACATACTAGAAAGCAACGGATAGAGCAGATGGTCAGCATTATGTAGCAGGAAAACTATGCAGGCCAATCCTGTGGTCCACCAGGGAGACGTGGAGGCCTGGGGAGGACATGGCCAGCATTCCAGTTACATTCATTTCCTCCTCTCCCACCCTCGCCAATAACGAGCGGCCTTGTTCCTTCCGTAATTACTTTCTAAGGAATTTCCGAAGAGGTCTCCATTACTTAGATTGGCTTCACTGGTATTCTTTTCTTTTCTCCTGCCTAAAGCTGGGTAGAATGATAGAAACCTTACAGGTCTTGAAGTCAGAACTCTATGATTCTGTTCCCGTTTCCAATATGATCTGGAGAGTTGGACCAATTCTTCATGGATTCAGTAAATACTTTCTTTAAAAGGCAGGATGTAAATTAACAAACATACAGACGAACAAATAAATAATGTCAAAGTCTCCCTGTTCAGCAAAATCATCTTGGTAATCTTTAGTCAGATGGTGGTAACATTAATTCATTCATCAAACATTTGTTGAGCATTTACTGTGTGCAAAGCACTGTTTTAAGAGCTATGAGATGTTCAAAGGTGAATTTGACAGGAATCCTGTCTTCCTACCCTCATGGAGATTGACATTTGTCATTTACATAAATAACTACGAACAATTTGGAAAGTAATATGCCATAAGAAAGGTGGTAATGAAGTGCTTGGGAGTCTGGAGATGGAGGAGAGGAAGAGGTTGTAATGGAAAGTGCTATATAAACAGAGCAGAAATCATTATGTGTTAAGCTAAGACAGGAAAAAGTGTCCCTGATTTGAATGAGAATTTTGCCCACCAGGGACTGATTCTAAGTAGGGGAACTCAGCCACAATTTCAAAGTGTTCTTTTTGTGCCATACTGGTTCAGTCTGTATTTTTATGTGGGAAACAGCCTGCTGGGTTGGGCAAAAGGAATTCTGTACTGTCACTGGTCACCTCGGGTAATTCTTCTCTCAACCCGGTGCTGTGTCTCTTGCTACTTTTGGCAATTTCAGGCTGTTTTCTGACTGTGCACCCAAGAAACGGAGTCTCCAACTGGTCACATTCCAAAATTTATAAATTAAGTGACATTGAGCAGGTCAGTTCAGGTTTTCAGCTCAGTTTTCCTATAATAAAAAATGGAAGATGTTGGACTACCTCGTCTAGCTCTAAATTTCTATGAACCACCCATGTGAATTGATACCAGCAAACTTTAGGTTTGATCTAAATACATATCATATAATTTTTAAAATAACTAAACACGCATTTTTGGAGGTCTTTGGTGTCCTAAGAGATCTCTTAAAGATTTTTATTCATAAGCATATCACTTAAGAATTTTCAAGGAGTGTAATGTTTGCAAACACACACACCACCACCATCACCACCACCATCACCACCACCACCATCACGAGGCCAGCTCTGGTTGGATCAAGTCCGAATCCCACAGGATATAATTTATCCGAGTTCAGGCTATTTCCCTCAACTCTGCTATTGAAATACATTAATAATAAAGCTCTTTACCTCTTTTGCCCAGAAGGCCTGTGTCTGTCAGAGCAATATTAGAGAAGGGAAATCACAGAATACCAGCCGCCTTGTTTCTCAGTTGGGATGACATCACCAGTCAACTTTTACATGAAGCAATCGGCAGATATCTCCCATTTCCCTCTACCGGAAGTGTGGGATTCAGGATAGCGTTTCAGCTGCTGTGTTGTGACACATTCCAGAGTTGAATGCAGGTCAAGGGCTGTGCAAGGTTTTATGGTTTCAATTCAAACCCAAAGCTACATATAGTAATATCCTTTTTAAAAAAAGCACCCAGGAATGCATTCACATGGACTTTTTTTTTTTTTTATAACTTTAGGAGTTTAAAAATTACAAAATATTTCATCTTTTATGGAGAGAGTTTAGTTACAATTATGAATAGGTTTCTCTCCCCAGCACACGTAGCTGTCAATCAATCCTCTTCATTATCAGAATTCTCCTAGAGCAATAGAAGGACTTGTTAACCATATTGTTTTCACTTATAAGATGCCACTCTAAGTCCCCGCAGTTGTTCAAATGTGAAAGCAGCTCCAGGATGGTAGAAGTGGTCCTGAATCTGATCGTAGAGGGGAGTCGGATGCCAGGCACTGATGCAGGGAGGGACTTGCATGTCTACTTTGCAGCTTTTGACCAGGCAGCTCCTATTCTAATTGGATAACATAAACTAAAAATCTTTATCCACAAACCCAATCAAGCCAGCAGTGGTGAGAAACTGACAGAGCAGCCTCGGGCTGGTGAAGCCCTGCCATTCTGTGTTCCCATCAAGGAAGTAAGACTCTAGTTTGGGAGCTTCTAGTGCTTCAGCCTCAGAGGAGAGCCCCCCAACCCTGGCACGTACCTGAACAGAGGCCGAGGAGCAGGAGGAGCAGCCGGGGCTCCATGGGCTGTGGGCGCTGGCGTGGACTGGTGGCAGACTGGTGGCCTGTGCTGCTCGCTGGTATTCTGGCTGGACGCTTGGCTGCTAGAGGATTTGGAAAGTGAGTCGGCTCAGCGGAGCTATTGTTTTACACCACCTGTTTGCAGCAGTGACAGCTGGGCGGCCCAGAGCCCTGGAGCCCAGGGAGTTGCCGAGGGCCTTACGTTATTACAGGGTGCCTTACTTTATACAATTGCTATACCCTCGACAAGTTGAGCGTGAACTGCATTGTGTTTTAATGCAACATGAGAATAAAAAAACTTACAGTACAGAAAGACCGATTTTGAATGGTGAGCAACCCGCTCCCTTTTGTGTACACCGGAACCTCATCTACTTGGATTGATTTGATTAGGGTCACTTGGTCTGAGTAGATAGTCAGCTGGGTGTGTAAGACACCGATCATCCTAAATCACAAAAGTCCACACTCTACACACAGGAAAATTCATTTGCTGTGAGGGTCGAGATTGCCTGGGGCTTTTGTGACAGAATGAATTTGAGAAGAGTGTGGCTAGTGCTAAATCTGCTGCGGGAGCATTCCATGTTTGATTGGATTTGGTTTTTAACAAAGAAGGCTTCTTCCATAAAACCGGTTATACTGTACCCCGGGGTGGCTGTTCCAACCCCTGTCTCTGTGTCAGGCAACACCAGCCCACCGTGAGGCATTAGCCAGAGCAAACTGCCCACCTCCCACATCCTGTTATTCAAGAGAAGAGTAATTAACGGAAAAGTGGTCCACTGCACAAGCAGTTGTTCTAGGTTCCTACTTCCTTCCTTCCATTCCTCTGCCTCCTCTCACTCAGAGAAGCAAAGAGCAGCGTGGTTCAGCTTTTCAATTCCTTTGTTTAAAAAAAAAAAAAATCCTAAAATCCAGCAGTTAGTAATTGCTCAGTCTGAGAATTATTTTACCAAAATGGGGAAGGAAGCAGTTATTTAAAGACACCCTGCCTGCTCCTTCCTTGCTTCTTTCCCAAATTGAATCAGTTGAGGAAGGATCTCAAGCCTATGTACAGCATCCTGACAAATCCACCGTTCCAGGGAGTCCAAACAGATAATTAGAGAAAGGGCTTGGAGGGTAGAGGAGAGAATCGCACATTTGCGTTATTTATATTTTTTCTGTTATATTTGTGGGAGACCAGCTAACTGTCCACTAAAAAACTGGTTCTTTCCCTTCACATAGCATAGCACTGTGGCTCCCTAACCAGGAAATACATCCCTGCACCCTACCTCTTCCATCTAGATGGAGACATGTGACTGAGTTCTAGAAAATGAAACGTGAGGAGAAATTCTATGAGACTGACAAACCTCCCACCAGAGCGTATCCATGCTCTTCTAGTCTTCCTACTGGCTGGAATGGGCATGACCCCCAGGGCAACCTTGGAAACCACATGTTGAGGGGGCTTTGCTTTTGACATCCTGGAACCTGAATGACTTCATGGAGGAGGGCAGCCTGTTGACCTGGTCACCACCCAGCTCTATTTCATGAGTGAGGACAGAACTTCTATTGTGTTAAGCCATTGAAATTCTTGGGTTTATTTGTACAGCAGCTAGTATTATCATTATTAATATAAAATTTAGTCCCTTGCATTGGGGTCCTGTGGTTAAAAATAAATCCTAAAATATGTAGCACTACAGAGGAAGGCAAGAAAACTGGTATTGGAGACTGAAAATATAAAGACCCATGTTATATAATAACAAACTGTTTAATAACACTGTTGTCTTTAATTACTTAGTGAGTACAGAGTGTGTACTGAGCCTGTGGCTCTAGAAGAGGTTGGAAAACCCAAAGTTAGTACATGTCGGTTCTTATTGGCTTTGCTTAGTGAGTCAGTAGAAGGAAGAGTCAACTTCAGGCAAGAATTGGCTGGTTCGAGAGCAGAAATGAAAGGGAATAGAATGAGCCCAGAAATCTGGAGCCTTCTGCTTTGAACCCCAAAGAGTAAACGATAACACCGAAAAAAGTCTTTAAGCAACAAAAACCCATTAAGACTTCTCACTAAAGAGAGAGTTTCACCACTGAAGCAAAGATCAGTTTAAGGGTGCTTTCTTCACACTCAAGTCTATTTTTTTCCAGATGGCTTCAAGATGGCTGCCATTAAGTTGAAGGAGAGAGGCATAGGGGTTAGAATGCCAGACAGAAATCAAGCTTGAGAATCATGCCCAGTAAAGAACCCTATGTGTGCATACTGGCACGTGGAAATGACTGCAAACAAATATTTCAGAAGCTTACTAAGTATTTGAGGGAATGAACCCAGACTACAAAAACTTTGGTTGTTCAAGTCTTAAAACAGTCCTTGGGTGCCCAAACATGCACCGGCAGAAAGCAGGCTATGACATCTGCACAGTCTCCCAAAGAGGGCACTCTCCCCGTTGACCACTTCAGGCGTGGCCATGGAGGTGAGTGGACAAGCAAGACCCTCCCAGGGGGCATAGCCAGGAGACACAGAGAGCAATGGACAAGGGAGCTCCTCCCAGAGGGTCTAGTCAAGGGAATCATAGCAGACCCTCTCAGTGCCCACCCATGTCCTCTTGGTTTTCACTTCTGCTGAAGAACTCTGCTTACTGCCAACACCAGCCACCCTCTGCTTGAGGGATTTTTTTTTTTTTTTTTTCTGGCTATAGGAACACATGGGACAGGCTGGAAGTGCAAGAGAGTTAATGTCCCCAGAAACAGCCTTCAGCCACTGTCAGAGGGTAAATACCCCAGCATCCTTGTCCCTTGGATGGCTAACTCTGAGGATACTCTGAGCTGTGTCTCAGAGTTCATCCATGGGATTGAGCCCCATTGCCCCTGGTGGAAAAGGCTTGACAACCCTTCCTCCTTATTGGCTTTCTTCTCTTCTCTGTCTCACTTTCTCCACTCTGTCACCTCTCAGTTAAACTCCTTACAGGGTCTGCTTTTGGGGGAATTCAAATCAAGACAGAATTTCTCCCACTATCTGGACAGGGGATCTTCACAATGTTGTAAATGGGTGCCTCTTCCACGTTTCTACCATTTTACCAATTGTCCTCTATAGATGAACAGTTAAAACTCTAGACTAAAAAAAAAATTATTAAAACGGCTATGTTCTTTAGGAGTAAACCTATTTTTTTTCATTAAAAAGTTTATTATTCAAGAAATTCAAATTTATTATAGAAAAAGTGAAAAACAGATGAATGAAAAGAAAAATCTTTACCCATTATCCTTCTACCTAGAAATATCCATGGTTAATGGGTTATTTTATATCTGTTCAGACCCTTTCCATGCATTTATTTATTTTCACTATCCCAAATCCCTGCTTTATGTTACTTGAAGTCAAAAGATTTCCTTTAATTTTTAGGTTTTCATGGATTAACCACTGCTAGCAAAATGCTACTTTTAGGAGAAGATTAATCTTTTTCTTTTCAGTTTTATTGAGGTGTAATTGACAAATAAAATTATAAGATATTTAAAGTCTACAATGTGATGACTTGATATATACATACATTGTGAAAGGATTCTGCCCATGCATTCATTTATTAAAGCACTTTTTTCAGTGGGCATTGCTATGTGCGAAGCACAGTTCTAGGCATTTGGACTACATCAGTAGACAAAACAGATGAAGATTTCTGTTCCTCAGGAAAAATGCATTCTAGTTGGAGAAAATGGATAATAAAAAATATATATAGTTAATAAGTAAATTGTTTAGTATCTTAACAGAAAATGCAATGGAAAAAAGAGACAGTAGAGCAGAGTGAGGGGGTCAGGAGAGCTGGAGAGGAGATTGCAATTGTAAACGTGGTAGGTAGGGTAGGCTTCGTTGAGGATGAGGCATTTGACAAAGACTTGTCGGAGGTGCAGGTATCTGTGGGATGAGCATTCCTGTCAGAGTGAAGGGCACTAGAAGTCCCTAAGGGGCATGGGCCTGGTGTGCTCGCGACGCAGCAAGGAAGCCAACCAGGCTGGAGTGCAGTGAGTAGTGGAAAGATGGTTAGAGGATGAGGTCAAAATAGCGGGAGGAAGAGGGGATACAGCACACCTTGTAGACTTGTACTCTGTGTGAGGGGAGCCTCTGCAGGGTTTTGAGCAGAGGAGTGACATATCTGACATATATTGTAAAAGGATAACTCTAGCCTTCTGACAAGAGGGCTGTAGGGAGGCAAGTTAGGAGCAACTGCAGTAATCCAGGCAGTAGATTGTGGTGGATTGGACCAGAGTGGTTGCAGTGAGGCTGATGAGAAGTAGTTGGATTTGAGAAATATATTTTGGTACTAGGGCTAATAGGATTTCCTGAAGGATTGGATCTGGATGCAAGAAAAAGAGAAGATGACGATTAAAGATGGTTCTGCAAGGATTTAGGTGCCAACAAGCGAATTAAGGAAGGCTTGGATGGAGCAAGTTAAATGGCGGGGAAAGCATGAGTCTTGTGAGGGACGTGATGAGTTTGAGATGTCTATTAGAAATCTGAGTAGGCAGTTGGGTTTATGAGTCAGGAGTTTAGGGGAAGGGCCTAGGCTAGGGTAGACGGTGCTCAAAGCCATGACTGGATAAGGGCAAAGGAAAGAGTATAGGCAGAGAAGAGAACTAACATTAAAAAGTTGGGAAGAAGGGGAGGATGCAGCAAAGACTGAGAGGGAGGAAGCAATGAGGCAGGAGGAGACCCAAGAGAGGATGGAGTTCTAGAAGCCAGGCGAAGAACTCGTACAAGGAAGAGGGAGTGGCCCACTGTGTTAAACAGTGCTGATGCAGCTGGTGAGATGAGGACAGAAATGACTAGGGGGTTTAGCAATGTGGAGGCCACTGGTGACCTTGACATGTACAAAACCTGACTGGTGTAGGTTTAAGAGGGGAGGAATTAGAGAGGCTTTACGGCAAAGGGTAACAAAAGAATCAGGTGGTAGCTGAAGTAGAGTCAGTAGAGGTTTTTTGTTTTGTGCCTTTTTTTTTTTTGGATGGGAAAAATAACAGCATATGTGCCTTTTTTTTTTTTGGATGGGAAAAATAACAGCATATTTGCATGATGATCATAATGATCCAACAGTAACAATAATAAAAAATTATATAGTAGGAAGCTG